ACATGTTCCTTTTCATTATAGGTTACTGCAAGATATTGAATATAGTTCCCTGTGCTATTCATTAGGACCTTCTTGTTTATCTATTTTATGTATGGTAGTTAATATCTGTTAATCCCATATTCCTAATTTATCCCATCCTTCCTTTTCCCTTCAGTAACCATAGTCTACAGCACACGGTATTTCCAGTTGGTTTCTCATCCAAGTACTAACCACGCTCGACCCGGCTTAGCTTCCGAGACTGGATCTAGTGAGTTCAGGGTGACATGACCATAAACTCTTAACTCTATATCCTTAAATCAAGTTACAGAAGTTGAGCAAAATAGAAAAGCTGTCTTGATATTTAGATCTTAAAATCTAGTTGATTAATGATAACTAATTTCTCCACAACCTGTTTTCCCATTGATTTTCATTAGGCAAGGAGTCCTCTCTGAAAAAAAAATCTGGCCCCAAACATAGTCAATAATAATCGGCATGATAAATGTTTTGAACATTTTTATAAACAGAAAAAAACTCTAATAAAACAATTCCACTTGAAAATACTTTGCAAAATTACAGGTACTCAACAATGTGTGTTGAGTAATTAATTTGGTGTTGTAAGGCGATGCCTAGAAGTATAATAGCCACTTGTTTTTTGTTTCTTGTTTTTTAAATTACATTTTGGTCTGGATGTAAAATAGTTTAATTACAAATTTTGGCTAATGTAATGATTCATGGAATTTGGATAATTAACTAAAGATAGAAGAAAATATCACCTTTGTAATCTTCCTAATTCATGAACTCACTCACACACACCACAAAAACTATTGGTTTATTCTCTACATATTTAAAATGCTGAGATCGCTCCAGTTCCAATTAATGAAGAAAAACTCTTCTCTTTCTGCTTCAGTGCCTGGCACTGAAGTGCCTACTTAATAAACATTTGATGAGCAAATGAATGATTTTGACAGTAGCCAGGCGCTTACAGCAAAAATGAGGTAATGCAGTGCATTGTGAAGAACATAGAAGGAAATGTATCTGGGTTCTCATCCCAGATCTGTCACAAACTAGTGGTGTGACCTTAGGTAAGTAACGTGACCTTCCTGAGCCTCAACTTCCTTCATGTAAACGTGGATGCTTGAGATGACCTTAAATGGCCTTCCAGCTCCAAAACCTACAGTTCTAAAGCCTAAAATGCCTGTTTTCCTTTGGACTTTACCATGTTTCTCTACCTCCTGCTTAGCCTTCTGTGTTTGAGATTACACGTAGTTGCCTCTGGAACTAAATCTATTAAGAGTTTCAATATGCTAAGGAAAGCAGTAGAAAGATAGCAGTTGCCTTGAAGGCTCACACAGAAAAGACTTGAGCAAGTGTGGAAGACAAGAGAAGTAGAAGGGGTATCTGAAAAGTGTCTCCATACTTCAGATGAGTGAAGTCCCCAGATAACAGGCTTTCTCTAGGGGTAACAGTAAGTTTTATTTATGACTGATTAACAACTGATTAATTTATAAAAGGCTTAGCTACCAAAGAGAGCACCAGGATGCTTTATCTCCTAATGGGACAGTGACTTTGCACATAAATAAAGGGAGAGTCACTGCCGCCTGTCAGGAAGACACTTTGACAGGGCAGGTTTGTTCTTGTCTCTTCCCTGATTTACTGTATGACCTTGGGCAAGTAATTTATCTTCCTCCAAACCAGCTTCCCTAATTATAAAATGGAAATAAAAATACTTACTGCCGTCACTGAGGATTAATGAGCAAGGCGATTGTCTTCAAGCTCTCAGAGGGGAAAAGGCTGTATAGAATCAAGCAGTGAACCCCTCCATAACACTGTTGGCCTTTTCACATAATTTGGGTGAGAAAAAACCCCACAGCATTAAAACCCTGGAGCTTACAGCTTCCCAGTCTAAAAAAAAGGAACCCTCTTACAACAGCCCATTTTTTTCCCCTGCATGTTACACAGCATATGGAGACACGGAAATGTCCTTGCTGGAAGACAGGAGCGGAATTTACTCCTCTAGAGTTCTAACCCTTGCTCTACTATGAACAGTGACATCTGGGGGCGGGGGGGCAAACTAGTGTTTCGGTGCCTCAACTTCTGTAAGATACTGGATAACACTTGCCATATAAATGAGATATGTGTAGGTGCCTGGCACATAGTAAGTTGCAAATTAATATCTGCCATAACTTCTGTTTTTAGCAGCATAATTCAAACTGCTGGAATAGTTTCCTCTTAAAAGTCAAAGGTCCTTATAAAAGTGTCGGGGTACAAAGGTAAACCTGATGTAAACATTCGTATTTTAAAAGAGGGGTAGGGAACTAATTTAAAGCCTCGACGCTCACTTCCCTTGGCTGAATAAAATGAGTTTGGGGGTGGGGTGGGGACGGACTTGGACAACGCCTTAAAATTTCGCTGCGCCACCGCAAGGGGGCACTGTGAGCCTGCTTTGGAGAGGGAGAGGCCGCGAGCCGCGTGGGGCGGAAAGGGCTTGGTGCTTCCAGCATCCAGGCGCGCAGGAGAAATGCAACCTAGCAGGGCCAGCGCGTCTTAGTTCGGGCTCCGGAAGGGGTGGCCCCGGTGACCCAACAGGGGTGAGGGGCAGGATATACGTAGCCCCACAGCTCTTCGCGCTCGACATCCCACGCCACTCTCCACCAGGTTCTTCCTGGCAGGTCTTTCCAAGCAACTGTTCTTAATGTGGGATCCGCAAGTCCTCGGGCTTGGGGACCCCGACACCCGCCCCCCCTACTCCAACTGTAGGGAATATTTTGGGTGCCCTTTGGTCGGTTGTTTTTCCAGTCAATAGGGCCAAAACTGTCATGATTCTTTAAGCGATCCGTGTCCACAAAGGGGTTAAGCTCTTCAGATTTAGGGAAAGAGGAACCCCTCCCCGCTCTAAAGACCAAATGCTGAGGTCTGGAAACGACCTTGAAATCATCACTTGTCCACCTCCAAAGACGGGGCTGGTGGCTGGCACACCTTACGGGGACTCCTTTAGGAAGTGTCCAGTTTAGGTACTGAAATAGCTCAGGTGCGAAGTTGAATCTCCCTTCAGCGGAAAGAGAGGAGACAGCGAACCTGCCACACCGAGTACCCAGACCTAAATTCCCTTAGCCCCATGAGGAGGTCAGACACGGAGTACTCGGGCTGTTCCACCTGCTGCTCGGGTCCCCCTCCCCCCGCCCCCAGACGCGTGTTTAGGCGTTGGACACGAAGGGGAACTCGATTGATGTTGTTTTTCCCTAGAGAGAAAGTGTAGCTGGCGGAGATGTCCGTGTGTCTCCTCTAACCCGAGCTGGTTGCTGGTATATCCATGTCCATGCGATCCCGGGGCGGCAGGCGTGCACTTTGCTCTCCGGGTTCCAGGACTGAACGCTTCGAAGCGTCTCTGGGGGAGAGCTACCCGGGGAGCTCGGGCAGAATGCTGGGTGGTGGTGTTGGGAGGACCGGAAGGAAAGCATAGTGAAGACAAGGGTGAGAGGACCCGGCAGAAAGTCCGGTGGGGGACCACACGGAATGCGACAGCGGAGGGGGATGTACGACCCATTCCAAACTTTCGCAGACTGCAGAGCCTAGGAAGGGAGAGCCAAGCAGAAGCACCAGCCTCTCCCACCGCCCAGCGCGCCCAGATGCAGCGAGGAGGGGCCTCACGCAGCGCCGGCTGGAAGCGGGCGGTCCCCACGTCGCGCCCACCCGCGGAGCCAAAGCGCCGACGCTCCCGGCGCTGAGCGGCAGTTCACGGGAGAAGCTGGACCGCCGGGCTCTGGCTTGCGCGCGGGCTCCGAGGAAGGGGGCTGCAACGCGGCTCTGGAAAGAAGGGAAACTTGACCTCACAGCCTCGCCCAGCCTGGGGAAGTGTCCTTGGGCGGCCCGCGAGCGCACAGACAGGAGTCAGAGGTGCTCGGGAAGAAGTGGGAGCAGAAATGTACACAGGCTAGAGAAAAGGATTAAAAAGAAATATAAAAAGCAATACAAGGCAGCTGCTGAAACCCGGCAGTTTAGAAGACACCCCCTCCCCGCTAGGAGGACTACAGTGACTCGCACTCGTGAAGACGAGGCACTCCTGGGCGGCCGCCGGTCTGCGCGCAGGAACCGCCTCCCCGGCGTGGGGCGCGCGTTTGGACGCCCGCTGCGGCCGCCAGAAACTGAGATGC